TAACCCACCTCACAGGGTTGTTGTGAGGATAAAATGGGTACCCCAACCTAGTACCTTCCTGATGTTTTGAACTACAACTCTGCACATTGGCTGGGGCTGATGGGACATCAGGAAGGCACCAGATTGGAGAAGGCTGATGTAAACCTCCTTGAGTTCCTCGGAGGAAAGGGAGACATAAAGATGTAATAAATAAATAAAACTATATGGCCCCAGCTCAGCCATGTTCAGGTAATTAGAAGTATTACCAGTGTTGGGAGGCTAAGTTTGCCCCACCACATGCACTGCTACTGTTATTTATAATAATAATAATAATAATAATAATAATAATAATTTATTATTTATTATTTATACCCCGCCCATCTGGCTGAGTTTCCCCAGCAACTCTGGGTGGCTCCCAATCAAGTGTTAAAAATAGTACAGCATTAAATATTAAAAACTTCCCTGAACAGAGCTGCCTTAAGATGTCTTCTGAATGTCAGGTGGTTGTTTATCTCTTTGACATCTGATGGGAGGGCGTTCCACAGAGTGGGTGCCACCACCGAGAAGGCCCTCTGTCTGGTTCCCTGCAGCCTCATCTCACGCAATGAGGGAACCACCAGAAGGCCCCCGGCGCTGGATCTCAGTGTCCGGGCTGAACGATGGGGGTGGAGACGCTCCTTCAGGTATACAGGTATACCTGTATATTTCTCAAACATTAAGACATCAGCACCATGTCTACACCAGAAACCTGAACAAGTTGAATCACAATTCCTTCCTCTTAGTTTATAGTTCATGTGGAAATCATGGGCATCTCTAACACATAATATTCATATTCCTAATCACACTATAGTACCCAGTATTCCCTGAAGGAAGCCATGACAGTTAAAGCAGCATAAAATCAAGTCAAGTTGGTAGTTTAGGTAAAACCATGTAGTGCAATTCTGTATGTAGGTTTTTGGGTAGCTGGAAAATATAGTAAGAGGTTCTGTGGCTGTCATCTTCAAATATCTGAAGGACTGTCACACAGATGATGCAGCAGCAAACTTGTTTCTAGCTGCTCCGCAGGGCAGGACCCAAACCAACAGGCTCAAATTACAAGAAATGGGTTTTCAACTAAACATTAGGAAGAAACTCCTGACAGTTTGCAACGTTTAACAATGGAATCGACTGCCTTGGAATGTGGTGGACTCTCCTTTCTTTAGAGGTTTTAAAAGACACTCTGGGTGGCCACTTATTGTGGATGCTATAAATCCATCCATTGACAAAAGGATGGACCAGCTCACCTCTGAGATCCTTTACAGCTCCGTTTTTCTGTGTCTAAACCTTTAGGAGTAGCAGCATGACACAGTAGATAAACAGGGGATGTTGCAACTGAATGTGTTGAACTGCCAAAAACAAAAACAAACAAAAAAAACAACTGTGTGGAGTAAAGCTGGCATTTAAAAAAATGTCTTCTGAACATTTGTCCTGGATGGTTAATCTAATCTAACCTAATTGATCCTTCTTAAGGGCATAAATCAATGTGGAGCCCTCTCCATGTTGCTTGACTACAACTCCCAACAGCCCCAGCCAACATGGTGAAGGTTCTGGGATGATGGAGATTACAGTACGGTGACATCTGAAAGACACCATGTTAGCCACACCTGACATAAATCACATAGAATTTTGCCACAGCGCCACTCCCTAAATGAAGAAAATTTGCTATTTGAGCCTCTTGTAGAGTGCATATGTTTGCTTTTGCTCTGGGGGCCCAGGCTGCCCACCCTGCCACCATGTCCGTTCCATCTTCCTCAGCTGTTATGTCCATAATAGATTTCTTTGAAAAAATAAAAATGAATGGGATCTGAATTCCTGAACACTGGAAATTTAAGTCAGTGAGGTTTCTTCATAGCATAAGACAGTTATACATACATACATACATACATACATACATATTCACACCAACGTAAGTTTTTCTTGTTGTCTGAGTTATTTGAGAGATGCAGCAGGGTCGGGTCCCTGGAGGAGAAGGAGGCAAGCTAAATGCATTATCCCATTTAGGTGCACCATAGTCCTCCAATGTTATGTATTATTTATACCAGCATTTCAATAGCTGCAAATTAGCATCTTGGTGAATTAAGAAATAATAATAATAGAAACTGCACAGGAAAGGGAAATCTCACTACACAGTCTGCTGACACCACAGGACTTTGAACTTTACCAAAGATTTCTAAAGGCTTATAAAAAGAAGGGTTTTTTGTTTTTACTCAAGAATGAATGAAGCCAATGAACAGGACATTTTATTCAGTTATTCCTTATTTAAGTCTGGCTTTTGCCAAAATAAGGATTTTACTTGCAGGGGCAGGGAGTATGTGGGCTCAAATGATAAAGCTGGTGAAATCAGGCTAAGAAAACCTGGAAACAAGAATTATTAAAAAATAAACAATTACTTGTTTGCTTCTGTTTCTTGAAACAGTGACAAAGAGACTTCTGTTGCTGCTTCGTTTTTTAAAAAGTTGGACTGGAATTGATTAATAAAGGAGAGAGTTTATTCCAAAGAGCCTGGGAAATCAGAACAGAAAATAGAACATAGTGTAGCCTGGCCAATTTAATTTAAAAAATAATCGAGTGCACTTTGCTTCAGCATTAAAGCTGAATAGTTCTTTTTGAAAGAGAGAGATTTATACCATTCCTTTAAAAGCATCTTCGCTGGGCTAGATTCTGAGAATAATTTTTACAAACGCTTTATATGTGCCAAGAGATGTACACACATGCACACATCTGCCAAAAGTTCACGAAGTTCACAAAGACACACAAAATATATAACCCACCATTCTTTTGAGTCTATGAATCTGATGGAGTCAGTTCTTTCCTAATACCTTCAGCATTTACAATCCAACCAAGGTTTAGCACACAAAAGGTTCTGCAATACGCAATGAGGATTCATGAATGCTATATAACACTAACTTAATTATTAGATGAAGGGTTGTTGTTTTTCCTTTTTTTGATGAGTGTTTTGTTTTTGTTTTTTTTTTGTATTGAACCCTACTGGAATCTTGTATATACACCAATAAAGGTTTGAGAATCTAACCTAGCACACAAAAGTTATTTTACTTTAAGTGCTTCATTTTCCCATTGGAATCAAGGGGACTTAAATGTGCTTAAATAGGAACAATAGGAGGAAATATATCATGTACTCTTTAAAACTGTGCTTCATGTGCCTTTTCACGTGCTTTCTAAGTTTAGATTTTTCTCTTGCTTTTGAAATTGTTTTTACATACAAAACTGTTCTGATTTTTTTTAAAAAAATAAATCTTATAACTGTTTTTAGATATGAAATTATGCAATGGTTTTCATTGCCAATGTTTTTATTGTGAAATCAGGTCTGACACATTTAGGTACCTGACTCATTTAAGTATAAATCAGTCTGCAGGCCCTGAGGCTATATATTTGCACAATTGTTTTCGTCAAGGTATTTTAAAATTTGCAGCAGCCTTGAACTTGGCATATTAACTGGACACCTGCAGGATTGTCTCCTCTCATATCTGAGTACCTTTATCCCCCCCCAGACCCTTCTGTTCAACAAAGAAAAACTTGTGGGTGTCAGGGCTGAGTTATGAGCAGCAGTCTAAAGTGAAGTGAGCCAGGAGCTGTGTGACAAATGAGTAGGCAGGAGCAGGGGATCATGAACACATCAGAACCCAGGAAGACCTTGTTCAGGTGGAGCAGGAAGCCCTTGACATTCTCTCCTGCCTAGAAAGATCCAATGGCCAGCCAGAGAGGGCAGAGTCAGCCTAGAAGGTTCTTCAGTACACTGTCAGCTATAGTCCAGTGACTCATCCAGTAGTGGACAGCATGGCGGGGCTGCAGTGATTACCTGACCTCCCTTCAGCTGCATCGCTGCTGCACACTGGGATGGAAAAGTGGTGGTGAGGTCAGTGCAGTGCAATGCTGTTGGAAGGAAGTAAGACGAGCAACACATTTTCAACATGCTATCTGCTACTGAATTCACCATGCAGCACAGTTGCATAAAGAGCAAGCAGCTCCTGAGGTCCAGAGCAAGGTGTTCTCCATGGTGGCCCACAGCTCTGGAATCACAGTTCTCATCAGGGAGGTGGCATCCTACCAGCTCAACATTAGTGTTTGGGCACAATGTGCATATATAATTCTTGTGCCTTTTAGTGGTTTTCAATTCTGTTGTTACCTTCTGTTTTTGTTGCTGCCAGTGTTTTATTGCCTGAATTATTTCCTTTTAATCAACCATACATCAGCTGGAGAGCTTTTAACTTGAAGGTGATTATAAAACAAAGGAGATAAATAAATTATAATTATGGGGAGGATATAATATTCATGCCTTTATTTTAACTTAATGAGGAACAAAAAAACACGCAAGCGTAGTGTTTTGTGAGGAAGAGAGACCTCAAATCTGTCTTCTCAGGGCTAGATTCAACTAATTTGTTTCACTAGCAGAAGGCAGTGCAAGGACTTCCACTAGCACAATGGGGCTTTCCCCCTCTCCTCCCTGTCATGTGCTCCCCACCACCCTCAAATATGATCTGGAAGGCTGTGAAGTACCCCAAACTAGCATGGAAAGGGAGGAGATGGGAGGTTGTTCTGGTGGACAAGCAGAAATGCTTGTGCTGCTAGGACAACCTCCTGAGCTCTATGTTGAATTCCACCCTCAGACTAGAAGTAATTGCTGCAGGGTCTCAAGCAAAAGTTTTCCCCCATCATCTACTCTCAGGTACTTTCTTATATGAAAAAGTGTGAACCTGGTGTCAAGGGGTGGAAGCAGCCAAGCGGATCTTCTCTGGTAAAGTGTTCAAGAGTTTGGGACCAGTCATATGAAAGGCCATGCAGTTCATGGGCATATGGTTAGCAGCAAGTCAAGGAGACTCTGGGAGGTGCTGTGGGATTGGGACTCCCAACACAGTAGGGAGATAGCGAGATGCCAGATAGCGAGAGACTGGTAGGAGCTAAAAGCAATGGAATGAAAGAGACTGAGCAGAACCATTGGATTACTCAGTTCAATAAGATCTGATGAGATAGCTCAGTCGATGGAGCATGAGACTCTTAATCTTAGAGACATGGGCTTGATCCCCATGTTGGGCAAAAGATTCCTGCATTGCAGAGGATTGAACTAGATGATCATTGTGGTCCCTTTCCAATGCTAAAATTATTCAATTCCATGATTCTATGAATTCTCTCCCTGATCTCCACCAAGATGGCGAACTCCCTGGGAACAACACAACAAAACTCCTTTTATGGGAGCAAATACTTCATGGACAAAAATAATTATAGGGTTTTCTTGATTGTAGGATTTTATCAGAATTTTAGCTGTACAGATAAACACACACACACACACCTGCTATGAGCCTGGCAAATAGGATAAGAAAACTAAATCAGGAATAAAACTAAATGTTGGACAAAATTTCTCCTGTCCCCCGCACATCACTATCTCTTTTTAAAACACATACTCTGGGAATGGTCCAATGTGAGCACCAGCCAGAAGAAATGAAGGTGCAAATGACGGATATCTGAGTGTAGGATGTGTAATCCCAGCCTTTCCTAGAATAGAACGAAATCAAAACAGCCATAGCACCTGTTAGGATATTGGTATATCTGAGGCTAAACGCTCCAGGGAAGATGCCACTGCTGAACATGGCAATATATACTGTGCAGGTAGGCGTTATGCACAAAAACCATGTACATAAGGCAATGGGGCTGATGGAGAGCTCCCACTTCAAGGCATGGTACTTCAAGCATGCACTGGGCTATTCTTATACATGGGAAGCTGGAAAGAGAGGAAAGCCTGTTGAAGAGGGAAGGGGAACCTCAGGCCCAAGGGCCAAATGTGTCCCTCCAGGGCTCTCTATCAGACCTTCAGAACTATCCCTAAGCCACAGCCCCTCTTCAGGCCACCCCCCTCATTGGCCCTGCTCTGAACCCTCTTTAAGTGCTTTTTCTGGTTGGAATGTGTGTCCTCAATCATTCATCTTGCTTGACTGGATGGAGAGAGGTATGTGCATGTTGATTTACTGTGTCATTTTAAACCAACAAAAAGTGCTTGCAGTGGGCCACTAATATGGAACAAGTGGAGATGAAAAGTATCCCTAAAGTGGTCCTATGAATGCCATGAGAAGAGAGCTTTGCCATCTTTTCTGAGTCAGAATTTAACTGTCACTTTCTCAGCATGTAAAAGCATTTCCCCACAAAAGTGTCTCTGTCAAGAGAGATACAAAGGGGTTCAAGATAAGCTCCCTGCTCAGCACACAGAGGGAGGGAGATGGAAGGGGAGAAGGGTCTCCAGGGGGTGGGGGAGAAATTTGTTTCAGTTCTCACATACCTAATTCAAACTTTCCAAAACAATATGTGAACTGAAATAACAGTCATCGTTTGAAATACATTCTTCTCTGAATTTTGCAATGCAGTTCTTCAGCCAAGTGAAATGTATAAAAGAGGGTGGGGTGGGGGGTGAAATAGCATATACAAATGCATTATATTAAGGAAAATTGCCTTGCAAAAATGTGTCTATTAGGCAAGATTTCATATCAAAATATGTGCATTAGGAGAAATCCACACAAAATGCTGACAAATTTCCATGAGAACTTTCTTTTAAAATTGCAAACTGATTTGGTAATGTACAAAATTGGGCAGAAAAAAATGAGAAACTGAGAGAAACAAAAATGGACATATTCACCCATTCTAGGGTCTTTCTCTTCCCAGGCCAGAACAACTCTGCTGGCTTCCACCCACGCAGTAACGGTAGCTTCACTCCACCAGTGTGGAGCTCCCCATTCCATCTGCCATTGGCTTTCCCACCAGTGGTAACCCACAAAAAACCACAAAAGGGGCCATTCCAAGAGTGGGGATGGGGAGAGTCTAAACCTGCTCAGGATTCCTGGATCTTGAGTGAACCCCATGGGTGTCACTTGATGGCTGGCATAGGCCAGAACAAGCTTTCATCCACCGCCATGAACCTCAGTCATCATGAGAGCCAGGGCTGTGGACGCAGTGTTGGCTACACCTCCAACGTGCACTGCCACTGCCCAGCTGGGCTTTGGATCGTTTTGCAATGGTGCAATGCAAGTCTACTCAGAACAACTCCTCATTGAAATCAGTGGGATTACTACCATGTAAGCGCATATAGTTTTGCATTTTAAGAAAGATTGGTAGGCAGGCGGGAAGCAGGTCTATGGAGTCAGATAATCATTGAAGCCACTTTTGAATTCAGTTGGAACACAAAATAATTTTTCCATAGCGTTAAAAGATTCCTTTTGTAAGTGCTCCTCCATGTCTCTTGATTTGATTTCCCTGTACCTTTTTTCATGTGGATTTAATAGGCTCCCTGATTCTTAATGGGCTTTAGAAATTTCCTTTCTCCTTATTGCCTGTGTTGTTGATTGTGAGATTGGCTTTTGGATGGCTCCTTTCTTTGATGCCACAGTTGCCTGGGTCGTCTCTGCACTTATCCTTAAAACACATTCGGAGCTGATTTGGTTTACTTCACTGAGCACTTCTGAGAGCTCTTTCTTTGCATTTGCTCTCAACTCTGTTATCTGAATAACATCTTAGGTAATTAATCAGTCTACCATTGATCTGAACACAAATTCCCAGCCTTTCACAGGCACTCATTATGGGTTCTGAATAGATGTTAAAAATGACAGGTTGATAGAATGGGTCAAGATTGGATGGGTTGTTCATCAGGTATGAATTCTAGCTACTAACATTCTGCTCCTCACTTGAAAGGTGAAGGCAGCTGTGCAAGAGAAGGAAGAATTCAAAGAATATACTCAATCCAAGAAGGGTTCTTTGTCAGGCTGAAGTTCACCTGTATACAGACACTCTTGAATGAAATCCGAATCACTATAAATGGATGGCTATTCAGCCATTGCTGCTGTTTCAGTTTTAAGTTCGTTCTTCTTTAATGGTACTATATAAAAGTGCTTTCAAGTTATGTATACATCAGTGCGTTCTCCCTCCCCCTCCCTCCCTCCCTTCATGTTTTCTTTTTGTTGTTGTCCATGTGCTCGTCTTTATGCATTTTTGCCCATCTGCAGTTCTCCTTCTGAACTGTGGATTATTCTCTGATCAGATGCCTCTTTATGAAAAAAGAAAAGGAAATGTATACATAGCCTTATGTGCTCCACATTTCCAAATGGCGAGAAGTTCCAGGAATAGCAGTAGGTTACTTTTCCCTTGGATGAGAGGGCACTGAAAACATATGGTGTCTTGCTAATATTTGCTTACAAGTGGAGTACAGTGACGGCACTCACTATAGCAAACACCAGACTCTCAACGTAAACTTGTGTGGCCTTCTCCCATAAGGCCGCAGGCTCAGTTTCACCTAACACCTGGAACTGTCCTCTCTCTGCTCTCTGTTTCCTAGGGCAATCCTGCACATCAGGGGGCAGGGAGAGATGGGTAGCTTACATGTTGCCTTTCAGATGTTGGATTACAACTCCCATCATGCATTCATCCGTTGTCCAGGCTGTCTGGGGTTGATGAGCTTTGGAGATCAACATCTGAAAGGTGCCAAGCTGGATACTCCTGGAGTCAGGTTTCATGGAGTACAGTCCACTTGAACAGATGCAAAATTAAACCATGGATAAAATGTAGCCTGATACATCTCTGCGCACATCAGAGCCACACCTCTCTTTTTTACAAAAAAGTCTGGAAAGTAGCACCAAGGCCACCAACAACTGCAGAGATAGTGTTACTCTTTCATTCTTTCAAAAAATAAAATCAAGTTTTAAGGTTTGAAAGGGGACAGAAGAAAGTGTGGGTATAGGTGTAAGGGTGTGTGTGTGTGTGTGTGTGTGTGTGTGTGTGTGTGAGGAGAGAGGAGATAAAGGAGAAAAGTCATTTGATGATGACATCATGTAGGCACCTTGCAAAAAGTGAGTGAAGGAAACGTGACATTTCCAGCATAAGCACAGAGTGTGGAAGTACGTTACTCTGTAAAAGTAAATAAATGTCTATACGCTTTGGATACTCATAATTTGAACAAAAATAAATACAGCACATGGCCTATTGTGTGCAACTGAGCATGCCTGGTCTAAAAAAATAAAATAAAATAAATCACACATTTTTGCCCCCAGTTCATTCTTTTAAATAGAAAAGCAGGCTTTAACTCTAATCTGTTTGACAGGGGTCATGGATTCAGTTTTTAAGAGATTATCAGTGTAGACTTTAATATATTTGTTTCTGTTACATTGAGCTATCATTTTAACCCAGGCTATTTTTAAGGGACAATTTATATAACTGAAATGTTTTTAAAAGTAAATCTGATTTGTTTTTGTTTCGGGGTTTTTTAAAAAACAAACAAACACAAAACACAATAGAGTTTTATCCACACTGAGCACATCCTATCTCCAGGCAGGGAGCTGAGATTACAGTCCCATTTGGATTGCGTAATTTCTGTGTTTCTATGCTATCTTAATGCTGGGGAGATCAGAATCAGATATTGGGATGGGGGATGTAGCTCCGTGACACAGCATTTGCACGCAGAAGGTCCCATGTTCAAGCCCCAACATATCCTGGTAGAGCTGGGAGACTCTCCTTTCTGAAACCATGGAAAGCTACTGCCAGTCAGTGCAGACAATATGGAGCTGATATATAGATTCAGTGTATAAGAACATCCCGTGTTCCACTGATGGAAATGCAGCATTTGTTCTCATATAGTCCTTGACTTTAGGAGCAATAGTCTACAGGTAATAAAAGAGGCCCAACCCACACCGAGATAAAGACAGCATAAAGTTCGTACATCATGTATACAAACATTTCCCACAGTTGCCTGTCATGCTAAAACGTAACGATCTTGCACCTTGTTCACTCCTACAATTTTCCATTGCAGATCACCTCCAAAATATTCACTGTGAGGCTTTATGCAGTACAGAGCACTCTCCCCATTAAAAGTCCTGCTAGCCACACAAAGGGAAGATACTGAACAGCGGTGGGCGACAAAGCAGCAACAAGGAAGGAGAACAGAAGAGATCTGAATGGTGCAGAGCATCACACATGCACTTCACTCTTCAGAATTGGGTCTGCTGTTTTTGGTCAGTGTTGGATACCCTCCTGCATGCTGAGTAGCATATTTCTTGACAATGCTG